GTTTCCATTGCTGATAATTCATTGTTGGTGTATAAAATTGCAACTGAGTCTTTATCTAGGAATCCAAGATGGCAGCAGAGTAAATGGAAAATAGATTCACCTCCTCCCAGGACCAAACTAGAATTACAACCAAATTATATAACAATCATCCTAAATAACCAACTGAAGACTACCTTAAGAGCAGTTTTATATTCAAGGATTTACAGAAGAAGCCACATTGAGACTGGTAGGAATGGTAGAGATGTGAAAAAGGCTGTCCCCAATCCCAGGGGTGGCAACTGTGAATCTGGCAGGATATCTCACCTGCGGTTAATTCCCCCTGAGAAGCATGGAGTCTCAACCCCAAGCTGGGCATCCAGCACAGATCCAGGAAAAGGCACCCGCAAAATATCTGGTTGTGAAAATCAGTGGGAGAGACAGAAGTTTGCTAGAGACACAGGCACCTTTTTAAAAGGCTAATAAACAAATTTTCATTCATAGCCACTTACTCTGGCAGAGGGAGAGAGGAGAAGACTACAGTTGTGTGAGGAGAGTCTGGGGAGAGAGTGGAAAAGACAGCCACATGGATCCCTGTGCTGAGTCATTCTCCCATACTGCAGACACCATCTTTCTTGGGTGGAGCATTCCCTTTCCTGTGGCATCATCCAGGGGGAAAGTAAGAGCCCCACCCTTTGGAATCCTTCTTCCATGTAGATGTCTGGGCAGACTGAGGAGGTGTCAGTTACTGAGTTTTGTGGCTTTGGGGTGGAGCCATTCCCCCAATTTTCCATAAATCTGACTGACAATTCCCCTCCTCAGGGGAGATCTATTAGAATCACCCTCCAGGCTTCAGGAAGACCCACCTGCGAACCCCAAATGCCCCACCCTTCAGACTCCTAGTGGTTTCGCCCTGCCAAGGTTGGAACAAAATTCGGGACAAACTGAGCTGTGAGGCTCTGGAGGAGAGGCCACAAACACCCACCTTCCCCAAAGCCTGACCAGCACCTATCCTCATAGGAGATCCACTACCCCCATCTTTCTGATACCTGGCAACCCCACCCTGCTAAGTTCAGGCTCCTTTTGGCAGAATCTGGGACAGACTGAGTTTTGTTGCTCTAGGACAGGAACCATTTTCCCCTTGCACACTTGAATGTAACAGAGCCCTGTAAACATAGGGCCAAATCTTGATCTGTTTGGGCTTGATAAACTCTGCTGGCCTCTCCCCAATAACTCCCTGAGACCCTGTCCTAACATATATGTATGCAAGCACCCAGCTGGTGGCAGCTAGATTTGGTATACCTGGGGATATTTGCTGAGTGGCCTCAGACACAGCACTGGAATCAAATTTGAACCTGCATTAAACTGGTGAACACCACTGGCCCCTACCTAGTGACTCACTGTGAACCTATCTCATCGAACTCAAGTACCACCAGAGTTACTTTCAGGGACTGAGCCTAACAGGCAGCCAGCAGGCAAAGGCAGGTGGAGGCGGATCTTGGGACACCTTAAGACATTTGTTGACTTGACTCCAAGCTTGTTACTGGTGCAAGCCAGCCTTGGTGTGCAGCTCAGTCCTTTCTGTGTGTAGGTAGGCCCAGCAGAGGCAGCCACAAACTGTGGATTGCTTGTAGTTCCAAACAAGTTGCCCAGGGATAGTCACAGGCAGCATCTGACATTGACCTGCATCAGAGTCTTTCCCAAGAGGCCCATAACCAACATGCCAATTGGCCAGCTTCAGATAACATCAGAGCGGGATCCAATTAGCTTCATGAGTGGCATATCCAAAGGGCGATCTTGACAGGCACCAGACCCTGCTGAGGCAAATTCTGCTTAGTGTGGTTAGCACCTGCATAGCAGCTTGCAGGCCATGAGCCAAAGTCTGCCAGCATGAAGGTCAATCCCACACACAAACAGGCCAATAGCAATCAAGACTCAATTACAACAGGAGGGACCACATAACTAATACAGGGACATTCCTAGAGCACCCAGCTCAGGTGATCAAAAAGACTGCACCACTGGACCCCACAGAATAGTTACTACATAAGGCCACACCATGAACCTGGGAGTTCTAGTAAATCTACTTAATACATAGGAACAATCACAAAGAGGCAGCTAAAATGTTGAAACCAAAAAACAGGCCCCATATGAAAGAACAGGAGAAATTTCCAGATAAAGAGCTAAATGAAATGGGGGCAAGTAATTTATTAGATATAGAGTTCAAAATAATGATTATAAGGATGCTCAACAGCATGAAAAAGGACATAGAAACCATGAAAATGTACTAGTTGGAAATGAAGAATGCAGTATCTGAAATGAAGAATACATTGAAAGGACTAAACAGTAGATTAGAAGAAGCAAAAGATCAAATAAGCAATTTGGAAGACAAGGTAGAAAAGAACACCCAAACAGAGCAGCAAAAAGAAAAAAGAATTTAAATGAGGATAGCCCAGCTGGTGTGGCTCAGTGGTTGAGCATCAACCTATGGGCCAGGAGGTCACAGTTTAGTTCAGGGTAGGTGCATATGCCCAGATTGCAGGCTTGATCCCCAGTAGGGGGCATGCAGGGGGCAGCTGACCAATGATTCTCTCTCAGCATTGATGTTTCTATCTCTCTCTACCTCTCCCTTCCTCTCTCTGAAATCAATAAAAAATATTTTTTTAAAAATGAGGATAGCTTAAGGTACCTTTGGGACAACATGAAGCATAACAACATCCATATCACAAGGGTACCAAAATGAGAAGAGTAAGAGCAAGAGATTGAGACCCACCGTGAAGAAATAATGACCAAAAACTTCTCTAACCTAGTGAAGGAAAAATACACAGTAGTTGAGGAAGTGCAGAGAGTCTCAAACAAGATGAAACCAAAGAGGCCCACACCAAGACACATCATAATTAAAATGGCAAAGGTTAAAGACAGAAAGAACCTTAAAAGCAGCAAGAGAAAAACAGTTAGTTACATACAAGGGAGCACCCATAAGAGTCTCAGCTAATTTATCAACAGAAACATTTCTGGACACAGGGAATTGTCATGCAATATTCAAAATGATGAAAAGTAATGGCCTACAACCAAGACTACTTTAATCACCAAAGTGAGCATTTAAAATTGAGAAGAAATAAAGGACTTCCTAGACAAGAAAAAACTGAAGGAGTTTGTTACCATCAAACAAGTATTACAAGGTATGTTGAAGGGCCTGCTTTAAGAAGGTGAAGAAGAAAAAATCAACAACAAAATATAGTTAAAAGAATAAAACAATCCTATCTAATAATAGACAAACATGGTAATTGACCATACCTTCCTTACACCTCCCATTGGCTAATCAGCGTGATATGCAAATTAACCGCCAACAAAGATGGTGGCTAATTTGCATACTGCAGGCAGGGCGGGAAAGCGTCATCCCCCCTGCCCTGCCGCCATCTGGGCCTGCTATCTGCAACCCGGGGTGGTGGGCGTCTGTGTGCGACCCGACCCGGGGCGGTGCCCCAACTCCCGGATCGGCCCTGCTGTGTGCGCAACCCAGGGAGGTGGGGCAGGCACCGAGGGATCGAGCCTGCCATCTGCCACCTGGGGAGTGGGCCTAAGCCAGCAGGTGGTTATCTCCCGAGGGGTCGCAGACTGTGAGAGGGCACAAGTGGGGCTGAGGGACACCCCCCCACCCCCTCCCCCGCCCGTGCACAAATTTTTGTGCACCGGGCCTCTAGTAAATACATACCTATCAATAATCACTTTAAATGCCAATGGATTAAGTGTTTCAGTTAAAAGTCATAAGGTAGCTGAATTGATAAGAAAACCAGACCCATATATATGCTGTCTACAAGAGACCCAATTCAGAACAAAAAATACACACAGACTAAAAATAAAAGGATGGAAAAAGATATTTCATGTAAATGGAAATGAAAAAAAGCTGAAGTAGCATTACTTACATCTGACAAATTAGACTTTAAAACAAAGGCTACGGTAAAAGACAAAGGACAGAACGTAATGATAAAGGGAGCAATCTAAAAAGAGGATATAAACCTTGTAAACATTTATGCACCTAACATAGGAGCAATTAATTATGTAAAGCAAATACTGATGGATATAAAGGGAGAGATTGATATTAACACAGTCATAGTAGGGGATTTTAACACCCCGTTGACATCAATGAATATATCTTACAGACAGAAAATCAACAAGGAAACTGTGGCCTTAAATGACACACTAGATAAAATTGATTTAATTTATATCTTCAGAGCATTTCACCCCAAAGCAGCAGAATATAAATTATTTTCAAGTGTACATGGAACATTTTCTAGACTAGACCATATGTTAGGGCACAAATCCCCTAAATTTAAGAAGATTGAAATCATATCAAGAATCTTTTCTGACCATAATGACATGAAACTAGAAATCAATCACAAGAAGAAAGAACCTGAAAAACATACAAACACATGGAAGCTAAATAGCATGTTACTAAACAAAGAATGTGTTAACAACGAGATCAAGGAAGATAAAAAATATATCTGAAACAAATGAAAATAAGAACACAACAAACCAAAATATATGGGACATCTTGAAAGCAGTCCTAAGAAGAAAATTCAAAGCATTACAGGCCTATCTCAAGAAACAAAAAAATCTCAAATAAACAAACTAACTTTACACTTAAAGAAATTTGAAAACAAACAACAAACAAAGCTACATGTGAGTAGAAGAAAGTAGGTAATAGAGATCAGAACAGAAATAAATGAAATAGAATCTAACAAAACAGTAACTCGATCAATGATATAAAGAACTAGTTCTTTAGAAAGATAAACAAGAATGACAAACCTTTAAACAGATTCTTCAAGAAAAAAAGAAAGGACTCAAAAACATAGAATCAGAAATAAAAGAGGAGCAGCAACAACTGACACCACAGAAAAACAAAAGATTATAAGAAAATAGTACAAATAACTATATGGCAACAAATTTGGCAATCTGGAAGAAATGGATAAATTCCTAGAAATATACAATCTTCAAAAACTGAATTAGGAAGAATCAGAGAATCTCATTAGACAGGTTTCAACCAGTGAAACTGAAGCAGCAGCAATAATAATAATAATAATAATAATAATAACAATAATAACTCCCAAAAAACAAAAGTCCTGGACTGGATGGCTTAACAGATGAATTTTACTAAACATTCAAAGGAGTAACACCTCACCTTCTCAAACAATTCTAAAAATTTCATGAGGATGGAAAACTTCCAAGCTCATTTTATGAAGCTAACAATATCCCAGTTTCAAAACCAGATAAAGACACTACAAAGAAAGGAAATTATAGGCGAATATCTGTGATGACCATTCATGCTAAAATCCTCAGAATAATATTAGCAAACCAGACCCAACAATACATTAAAAAGATAACGTACCATGATCAAGTGGGCTTTATTCTGGGGATGCAAGTTTGGTACAGTATACACAAATCAATAAGCGTGATACACCACATAAAAAAACTGATGGGTAAAAACCACATGATCATATCAATAGATGCAGAAAAAGCACTTGATAAAATCCAGCACCCATTTATGAAAAAACTCTCAGCAAAGTGGGCATAGAGGGAATATACCTCAATGTAATAATGACCATATATGACAAACCCACAACCAACATCATACTTAAATGGGCAAAACCTACAAGCATTTCTCTTAAGATCAGGAACAAGACAGGATGTCTGCTTTCACCACTCTTATTCAACATAGTTCTGGATGTCCTAGCCACAGCAATCAGATATGAAGAAGAAATAAAAGGCATCCAAATTGGAAAGAAAAAGAAAAACTATCATTATTTGCAGATGACATGATACAGTATATAGAGAACGCAAAGTTTTCCACAAGAAAAAAAAAACAACTACTGGAACTGATTAATGAATTTAGTAAAGAAACAGGATGCAAGACAAATCTCCAGAAATCAATCGCACTTTTATACACCAACAATGAACTATCAGATAGGGAAACTAAGAAAACAATCCCATTCACAATCGATTAAAAATTAAAATACCTAGGAATAAATTTAAACAAGGAGATAAAAGACCTGTACTTAGAAAATTATAAGACACTGAATAAAGAAGTTGAAGAAGATACAAATAAATGGAAGCATATACCGGGTTCATGGGTAGGAAGGACTAACATCATTAAAATGCCCGTACTACCCAAAACAATCTATAGATTCAATGCAATTCCTACCAAGATACCAATAGCATATTTCACAGAACTAGAACAAATATTTCAAAAATTTATATGGAACCACCAAAGACCCCAAATAGCCACAGCAATCTTGAGAAAAAAGAACAAAGCTGGGGGAAATTACACTACCTGATATCAAACTATATGAGAAGCCCATGGTAATCAAAACAGCATGTCAGTGGCATAAAAATAGACAGAGATGAATAGAACAGAATAGAGCCTCAAAATAAACCCATGCCTCTATAGTCAATATTTGACAAAAGAGGCAAAAACTTACAATGGGGTAAAGACAGTCTATTCAATAAATGGTGCTGGGAAAATTGGACAGATTTGCAAAAAAAAATATTAAATTAGACTCCCTTCTTACATCATACACTATAATAAACTCAAAATGGATTAAAGACTTAAATGTAAGCTGTGAAACCATAAAAGTTCTAGAAGACAATATAGGCAGTAAAATCTCATATTTCTCATAGCAATATTTTTTCTGATATATCACCTCTGGCAAGGGAAACAAAAAAAAATAAACAAATTGGAGTACATCAAGCAAAAAAGTTTTTGCACAGAAAGGGAAATCTTCAACAAAATGAAAAGGGAATCCACTGAATGGGAGAACATATTCACTAATGATACATCTGTAAGGTGTTATGTACTTTTAAGGATGCTAGTTTTCCCCAGAAGAAGATTTTGAAAAATCATTGATGTGTTTATTTCAATTAAATTCAGAAAAGTAAAATTATAATACATTATGTTTGGGGTATAAATAAAATACTGAGGCCGAAACCGGTTTGGCTCAGTGGATAGAGCGTCGGCCTGCGGACTGAAGGGTCCCGGGTTCGATTCCGGTCAAGGGCATGTACTTGGGTTGCGGGCACATCCCCAGTGGGAGATGTGCAGGGGGCAGCTGATCGATGTTTCTCTCTCATCGATGTTTCTAACTCTCTATCTCTCTCCCTTCCTCTCTGTAAAAAATCAATAAAATATATTTAAAAATAAAAAATAAAAAAATAAAATAAAATACTGAGGCCTAAAATAATGTTAGGAGTTTTAATATAGTTACTTAAATATTTTTTAGTCATTTTTTTTCAAATCCTTTAGTTTCAATTTTATGAGATAATTTTCCTGTTTCCCTTGACTGCCTTGACAAATTCTTCCCACAAACCAGCAAAACATCTCTGGGCTGGATCTCGGGGATGATACAGATATAAGTAGTATTACCAGACAGGGACCGGCCCAGAGCAGTTCTGCCTCAGGTTGGCCTGTAATGTGTGGGTCCTTGACTTTGTGTAGGAAAGATTTCACAACTTGCGTTCAGATGGGTTTGAGAGTACATTTATTAAAGCTGGGGACAGTGAAACTAAGGAAGAAATTAGAGTAGAAGAAACAACAGGGGAGAGCCTAGGCCAGTGGTTCTCAACCTTAGCTGCACATTAGAATCACCTGGGAATCTTTTTAAACTCCTGATTTCTGGACCTCATCCTCCGGAAATTGTTTCTTTGTTACTAATGTGACCTCA